ACGACAGGTCAAAGGTCACATATTTATACACTGCCAAGGGCCATCATGCTTTGTCTACATATGAGGGCAGCCATTCGAGGATTACTCACACAGGTTGAAATAATTAACATCTGCCAAATCCCAACGCACAAAACAGGTTACTTAACTTAGGTCAAAGGTCAAGAGTAATCACGGAAACTAGTACGTCCTATGCGTTAATAGACTGGCCAGGAGCCTTGAACAAAGGTCACGGGGGTCGTTCCAGGTAGAGACAGTGAGGTATATCTGCTAATCTATAATGAGTCAATGGGGGGTATTGCCCAGCTGCTGGAAGAAGGCTAATGTGGTGCCAATCTACAAGAAATGAGGTAGAGAAGAAACACTTAACTACAGACCAGTGTCACTCACAAGCATTCCTGGCAAAGTACTTGAAAGAATTATAAAGTTAAGACTAGTTGCACACTTAGAAAGAATTGGGTTTGTAAGTAAACAACAACATGACTTTTGAGAAGGGAAATCATGCTTGGCGAACCTCTTGGAGTTTATTGATAAGGTAACTAATATACGGCAAGGCAGAGAAGGCTGGGCAGATTGTATATTTCTGGACTGCCAAAAGCCTTTGATACAGTACCACACAGAAGGCTACTATACAAACTTGTGAGATTGGCGGCAATGCAATAACATGGGTAAGGAATTACCTAACGGACAGGTGTCAGAGAGTGACAGTGAGGGGCGAGGAGTTGGATTGGCATAGAGTAACAAGCGGGGTGCCTCAAGGCTCGGTCCTGGGTCCCATACTATTCCTCGTTATGTAAACGACTTGACTGCAGGAGTTGAATGTTATACGTCAATGTTTGCAGAGTATGCAAAACTAATTAGAAGGATTGAGGCAGATGAGGAGTGTAAGATTCTCCAGGATGACTTGAACAGGCTGCTGAGCTGATCCGAGAAATGGCTGCTAGAGTTCAACACCAGCAAGTGTAAGGTGATGGAAAGTTGATCAAGAGACCGAAACATGATGAAGGGAAACTACCTCCCTATAACGACTCGAGAAAAGGATCTGGGAGTGGACATAACACCGAACCTAACTTCAGAGGCTCATATAAATAGAATAACGTCAGCCGCATACTCTACGCTGGGAAAAGTCAGAACATCCTTCAAAAACCTGAATAAGGATATTTTAAGATTGCTGTAAGCCCCTGACAGAGGTCCCCTGTGGAAACAGGGGCCTGACAGCTGACTGGACAGCGCTTCGGATTCGAAATCCTGAGGTTCCGGGTTGCATCCCCGGTGAAGGCGGAAACAAATGGGCAGCGTTTCTTTCACCCTGATGCCCCTGTTACCTAGCAGTAAATCGGTACCTGGGAGTTAGACAGCTGCTACGGACTGCTTCCTGGGGTTGTGTAACAAAAAGGAGGCCTGGTCGAGGACCGGGCCGCGGGGACGCTAAGCCCCGAAATCATCTCAAGATAACCCAACCACTTGGGCTGGACGGTAGATCGACGGTCTCCCTTCATGCAGGTCGGCGTTCAATCCCCGACTGTCCAAGTAGTTGGGCACCATTCCTTTCCCCCCGTCCCATCCCAAATCTTTTTCCTAATTCCTTTCAAGTGCTATATAGTCTATTGGCTTGGCACTTTCTCCTGATAGTTCCCTTATCTTAGATCACTGTATGGCTTGGCACTTTCTTCTGATAGTTCCCTTCTCTTAGATCACTGTATACCTCTGTATATCTTCTCTTAGATAACTGTATAGATCACTTAGATCACTCATATACGCCTATATGAGTCTTAGAGTATGTCGCCATCTTGGAACACCCAGCTAAAAAAAAAAACACATAAGGAAGCTCGAAAAAAAGTGGAGACCTTTGGAACGAGACCCGTCCCAGAGTTGTGAGGAATGAGGTACGAAGACAGACTAAAATGCTAAACCTGACGACGTTAGAAAGGAGGAGGGAGAGAGGGGGGACATGATACAGACGTATAAAATACTTAGAGGGATTGACTGGGTGGAAACAGAGGAATTGTTTACAATGAATATCAACAGAACAAGGAGGCTCGGATGGACGCTTAAGACTCACATGTGACAAAGAGATGTTAGAAAGTTTTCCTTTAGCGTGAGGGGTAGTGAGTAAATGGAATGACCTAAAGGAGCAGGTTGTAGAGGTTATCTTAAGGTTATCTTGAGATGATTTCGGGGCTTTTTAGTGTCCCCGCGGCCCGGTCCTCGACCAGGCCTCCACCCCCAGGAAGCACCCCCAGGAAGCAGCCCGTGACAGCTGACTAACACCCAGGTACATATTTTACTGCTAGGTAACAGGGGCATAGGGTGAAAGAAACTCTGTCCAATGTTTCTCACCGGCGCCTGGGATCGAACCCAGGACCACAGGATCACAAGTCCAGCGTGCTGTCCGCTCGGCCGACCGGCTCCCACAGGCTAACTCCATTCATAAATTTAAAAGCAGGTATGATAGGGAAATAGGCCAGGAGTCATTGCATTAGGCAACCAATGGTTAGAAAAGCTGGGTCCAAGAGCTGGAGCTCGATCCTGCTGGCACAAATAGGTGAGTACACATACACACACAGACAGGTCTGGTAGCTAAGTGGGTCTGGTAGCCGAGTGGACAGCACGTGGGGCTCGTAATCCTGTGGCCCGTGTTCGATTCCCGGCGTCGGCAGAGAAAAATGGGCATAGTTTCTTTCACCCTGTTACCTAGCAGTAAATAGGTACCTGGGAGTTAGTCAGCTGTTACGGGCTGCTTCCTGGGGTGTGTGTGTGTGTGGGTAGGGGTGGGGGGGGGGAATTAGTAGTTAGTAACAGTTGAGAGGCGGGCCGAAAGAGCAGAGCTCAACCCCTGCAAGCACAACTAGGTGAATACACACACACACAACATTCCAACCTCGTCTGAACACGGCTCAAACAGGCGCCTCAATTGCAAAAAATGGCAAACTCATTATTTGTAGCAACCAGTAATTTGTTCTGGCTACAACCAAGTAATTTGTTCTGGCTACAACCACGGCGAGGTTTGGACGCGATTTACTGTGTGTGTGTGTGTGTGTGTGTGTGTGTGTGTGTGTGTGTGTGTGTGTGTGTGTGTGTGTGTGTGTGTGTGTGTGTGTGTGTGTGTGTGTGTGTGTGTGTGTGCGCTTCACATCACCCTTCCCTCCCCCTCCCATTCGTCTTTCAATTTCCCCTTCCCTCCCTCCAACAAGGTCGACAACCTTGTATTTGTGTATGCAAATATCGCCCATCCAATATCCAGATCAAAGACAACGGAGGAATCGCCCAAGATAACATAAACATTTCAACACTGTTCTAGGACTCATGAGTGAGTTTATCGTCTAGTTACACTCCAAGTGCATCCCTCAGGTTTAAAAAAAAAATACCCATTAGACCATTAGAAACCTGTATAAAATACCCATTAACTCATCATAAACCTGTGTAAAAATACCCGTTAACCCATTAGAAACCTGTGTAAAAATACCCATTAAGCCATTAGAAACCTATGTAAAATACCCATTAACTCATCATAAACCTGTGTAAAAATACCCGTTAACCCATTAGAAACCTGTGTAAAAATAATCATTAACCCATTAGAAACTTGTGTAAAAATACCCATTAAGTCATTGAAACCTGTGTAAAACACCCATTAGAACCCTGTGTACAAATACCCATTAGAAACCTGTGTAAAAATACCCATTAGAAACCTGTGTAAAAATACCCATTAGAAACCTGTGCAAAAATACCCATTAACCCATTAGAAACCTGCGTAAAAATACAACGAAAAGTTTTTTTTATCTCTATTGCATTTATGGTCAAAAAAGAAAACATTCGAAATTCCTTGAAAACATTGTATTGACTGATTTAAAATAAAGGTTTACACACTCAAAGAGCAACAACAGGAAAGGAAACTTTTATTATTTTTCAAGACGCAAGGGAACAAAGTTTGAAAAGTTCGCATGAACTAAATTTCAGCGCATCTTAACTCGCCAAAAGAGAGAGACGTAATTTTGGTTGAAAATTCACAATCAGGGACGTTATTTTGGTTGTAAATTCACAATCAGGGACGTAACTTTAATTGTAAATTCACAATCAGGGACGTAATTTTGGGTGTAAATTCACAATCTGGGACGTAATTTTGGTTGTAAATTCACAATCAGGGACGTAATTTTGGGTGTAAATTCACAATCAGGGACGTAACTTTGATTGGACATTCACAATCAGGGACGTAATTTTGGTTGTAAATTCACAATCAGGGACGTAATTTTGGTTGTAAATTCACAATCAGGGACGTAATTTTGGGTGTAAATTCACAATCAGGGACGTAATTTTGGTTGTAAATTCACAATCAGGGACGTAATTTTGGGTGTAAATTCACAATCAGGGACGTAATTTTGGTTGTAAATTCACAATCAGGGACGCAATTTTGGTTGTAAATTCACAATCAGGGACGTAATTTTGGGTGTAAATTCACAATCAGGGACGTAATTTTGGGTGTAAATTCACAATCAGGGACGTAACTTTGATTGGACATTCACAATCAGGGACGTAATTTTGGTTGTAAATTCCCAATCAGGGACGTAATTTTGATAGTAAATTCGCAGTCAGGGACGTAACTTTGGTTGCAAAATATAGTAGAGGATAGACAGGAGACTGAAGGAGGGAATTATTATATTTCCAAACGCCAGCGTTAGTTTAACAAAGATATAAGTCTCATATGACAAACCTATGAAAATAATTAACGATGCTAATGAAAAGATTAACAACGGAGAAGAAATGTTTTAAGAAGGCCTAGAGATACAGCAGAAATGGTTACCTGACTTCAACCCAGGCAAGTGTAAGGTAATACAAATGGGAAAGAAGAGGGGAGAAGTACCCAAGAACAGGGCAAGGAGAACATGGGGAAGGAGAACCGAAGAACAATTCAAAGGGGACAGGAGAGAACATATACATCCCTTCAACCACCTCCCATGTAATGCATCTCATCTCCACCACCACCACATACATCATTTTCTCCCTACCTCCACCTCCAGGTGGGCTGGGAGGTCGGTAGGTGCCTCCAGGTGGGCTGGGACGTCGGTAGGTGCCTCTAGGTGGGCTGGGAGGTCGGTAGGTGCCTCCAGGTGGGTTGGGAGGTCGGTAGGTGCCTCCAGGTGGGCTGGGAGGTCGGTAGGTGCCTCCAGGTGGGCTGGGAGGTCGGTAGGTGCCTCCAGGTGGTCTGGGAGGTCGGTAGGTGCCTCTAGGTGGGCTGGGAGGTCGGTAGGTGCCTCCAGGTGGGTTGGGAGGTCGGTAGGTGCCTCTAGGTGGGCTGGGAGGTCGGTAGGTGCCTCCAGGTGGGCTGGGAGGTCGGTAGGTGCCTCCAGGTGGGCTGGGACGTCGGTAGGTGCCTCTAGGTGGGCTGGGAGGTCGGTAGGTGCCTCCAGGTGGGCTGGGACGTCGGTAGGTGCCTCCAGGTGGGCTGTGAGGTCGGTAGGTGCCTCCAGGTGGGCTGGGAGGTCGGTAGGTGCCTCCAGGTGGGCTGGGACGTCGGTAGGTGCCTCCAGGTGGGCTGGGACGTCGGTAGGTGCCTCCAGGTGGTCTGGGAGGTCGGTAGGTGCCTCCAGGTGGGCTGGGAGGTCGGTAGGTGCCTCTAGGTGGGCTGGGAGGTCGGTAGGTGCCTCCAGGTGGGCTGGGAGGTCGGTAGGTGCCTCCAGGTGGTCTGGGAGGTCGGTAGGTGTCTCCAGGTGGGAGGTCGGTAGGTGTCTCCAGGTGGGCTGGGAGGTCGGTAGGTGCCTCCAGGTGGTCTGGGAGGTCGGTAGGTGCCTCCAGGTGGTCTGGGAGGTCGGTAGGTGCCTCCAGGTGGGCTGGGAGGTCGGTAGGTGTCTCCAGGTGGGCTGGGAGGTCGGTAGGTGCCTCCAGGTGGTCCGGGAGGTCGGTAGGTGTCTCCAGGTGGGCTGGGAGGTCGGTAGGTGCCTCCAGGTGGTCCGGGAGGTCGGTAGGTGCCTCCAGGTGGGCTGGGAGGTCGGTAGGTGCCTCCAGGTGGTCCGGGAGGTCGGTAGGTGTCTCCAGGTGGTCCGGGAGGTCGGTAGGTGCCTCCAGGTGGTCTGGGAGGTCGGTAGGTGCCTCCAGGTGGTCCGGGAGGTCAGTAGGTGTCTCCAGGTGGGCTGGGAGGTCGGTAGGTGCCTCCAGGTGGTCTGGGAGGTCGGTAGGTGCCTCCAGGTGGTCCGGGAGGTCGGTAGGTGCCTCCAGGTGGTCTGGGAGGTCGGTAGGTGCCTCCAGGTGATCCGGGAGGTCGGTAGGTGTCTCCAGGTGGGCTGGGAGGTCGGTAGGTGCCTCCAGGTGGGCTGGGAGGTCGGTAGGTGCCTCCAGGTGGTCTGGGAGGTCGGTAGGTGCCTCCAGGTGGGCTGGGACGTCGGTAGGTGCCTCCAGGTGGGCTGGGACGTCGGTAGGTGCCTCCAGGTGGGCTGGGAGGTCGGTAGGTGCCTCCAGGTGGTCTGGGAGGTCGGTAGGTGTCTCCAGGTGGGCTGGGAGGTCGGTAGGTGCCTCCAGGTGGGCTGGGAGGTCGGTAGGTGCCTCCAGGTGGGCTGGGAGGTCGGTAGGTGCCTCCAGGTGGGCTGGGAGGTCGGTAGGTGCCTCCAGGTGGTCTGGGAGGTCGGTAGGTGCCTCCAGGTGGGCTGGGAGGTCGGTAGGTGCCTCCAGGTGGTCTGGGAGGTCGGTAGGTGTCTCCAGGTGGGCTGGGAGGTCGGTAGGTGCCTCCAGGTGGGTTGGGAGGTCGGTAGGTGTCTCCAGGTGGGTTGGGAGGTCGGTAGGTGTCTCCAGGTGGGAGGTCGGTAGGTGTCTCCAGGTGGGCTGGGAGGTCGGTAGGTGCCTCCAGGTGGGTTGGGAGGTCGGTAGGTGTCTCCAGGTGGGTTGGGAGGTCGGTAGGTGTCTCCAGGTGGGAGGTCGGTAGGTGTCTCCAGGTGGGCTGGGAGGTCGGTAGGTGCCTCCAGGTGGGTTGGGAGGTCGGTAGGTGCCTCTAGGTGGGCTGGGAGGCCAGTAAAGAGATACGTTCAGGTTCTCTTTGAGACCTCTATACAATAGCCAGTATCTCATTACTTTGAGGAGAAAGACGAGAGATATTTGCGAGTTCTCTGCCGAGTGTTTCCTAACGAAAGGGTTCATTACCCCTCTCGAAGCCTTTGTACAGGACTCCGTTATCGACCCGTCCGTGTACTTCACAGGAATATCTTGACTGCGTAGAATGCTGCAACGATCACTCTGTAATGCTGCGTAGAATGCTGAAACGATCACTCTGT